TTACTCATGATTTACAGTGGCGTGGGAGGAGAGCGGAGTCTGCGTGTTCAACAGGCTGGAAATGCCGGTGGCCAGACCTGTGCACGGGCGAGGGGGTGGCTCTGGTGCTTACGAAGCAGCAGAGGTGAGCTGCAGCCCAGCCAGCCGTTGGCAGCGATGCACCCGGAGGAGCTCTGGCTCCCGGGAAGCAGGAGGGTGGGGTGTCAGCGACGGCTTGGGTGTCCCTGCCTTCCAGGAAAGGACCCACCTACCCTGTGCTCTCGCTTCAGAGCTATTCAGATGGAGAGCATCACTCCTCTGCTCTGAGGTGATGTCAAAACCATCTGTGATCTCCTGATGACTGAAAAGCAAGTTCCATAGTACTTCATCTTTAAAGCAGGGGGGAGCTCTTGGCTGAGCCAGGAGAGCTCTCATGCACAGGTGGCATCCACCAACCAGTTGCTCAGCCATCTGAAGCGATGTCTTGGCTGCGTCTGTCTTCCCGCAGCCACCGCAGGCAGCGTGGTGCGGAAGGGCAGCTGGGGTCCTGCCTGCCTGTGGGCAGGAGGTCCTGCTTCCCACGAAGCCTGAGCTCCAGAGGGGTTGGTGCCTTGCAGGAGTGAGGCGCCAGCTCAGCCCGCACCCAGCGTCTGCTTGCAGCTTGCAGTTTGGTGCAAGCTGGGAGTTACTCCGAGCGTGCTTTCGTGCGAGGCAGCGCTTCGAGGTGGTGGATGAGCATCAGCTCTTTGAAGCTTGTGCCCTGGTGACGGGCAATATTACTCCTGTTCTCTACAAGAGAGAAGCTGGGCGCAGAGATGTTGAGCAGTTGAAGGCTGTGTAAACCGTGCCCATCCAGGTGCTCTTCCTCTAGCACTCATGCTGTTTTCTTTCAGCATCATTGCCAGCACCAGTGTTAGGCATCCTGGTGCGTAGGCAAGGCAGTGACGTCTTTATCTTGTTTAGCTTAGGTGAAAACTCCAGACATCCTGCTGATAAAAATACTCTTGGCAGATGTCCTATCTGTTCTCCTTCCTGTGACGAGGGCGGGGGAAAAAGTAAAAGGGAGGCTCTGATAGATGGGATTATGGCTGTGGACTTCTGCAAGAAGTTACAGCTTGGGGGTCAAGACTTGTAAATGGATGAGGTAGGACCACGGTGTGCTGAGAAGGGAGGTGCTGGAGGCCCTGGGCTGCAAGCAGACGTCTATCTCCAACGCTTGCGTGCCCATGCTCATCTTAGCAGTGATGTGGGGAGAAAATTAACTGGTCCCAAACCACACAGTGCTCTGCAGGTCAAAGCCAACACTTCAGATTGTCCTCTGTGTTTGCTGGATGGTCTGAACAGGTCTTCCTGCACTGCTTCCCCACCTGCCCTTTCAGAAACCAGCAGCTGAATTCAGCATCAGTGCCTGATGTGGGGAGCGTTCACACCTCCTTGAGCTCTATCACGGGCACATCAGGGAGTTTCTTCTCCCTTTTTATAACTCCCAGGACTCGGTACTCATTTCCAAGCTCTTTCTGAAGTGTTTATATTGGAACAGTATCTGGACTTTTCAGCTCCAGTGGGGTAAGTTGCTGAATTTGAGGAGTGCGAGTTGAGAAGGGGGCCTCTCTGCTGTAACCACTGAACTCCAGCACAGTAAGCTACAAAGGTGTAAATGCAAAAGTAATTTTTGCTGACTCTCTGTCTTGCTGCTGTCTGAGGAATGTTCTAACAGGATCCTTTGTTCTTTCGCTAGCTGGGCTTTGTGAAAGCGGTGTGGAGTCCACGGCGAGAGGAGGCCGGTAGAGCCTGGTGTGATGGAGCTTCCCAGTTACAGCAAGCAGCTGCTGCAGCGGCTGTACGCCCTCTGCAAAGAGCAGCAGTTCTGCGATTGCACCATCTTCATTGGGAATGTGCATTTTAGAGCACACAAGGTGGTTTTGGCAGCTGCCAGCCTGCTTTTTAAATCCTTGTTGGACAGCACAGACACCATCTCCATCGATGCTTCTGTGGTGACCCCTGAGGAGTTTGCGCTCTTGCTGGAGATGATGTACAGTGGCAAACTCCCGCTAGGGAAGCACAATTTCACCAAAGTAATCTCCGTGGCAGATAGTCTGCAGATGTCTGATGTGGCTGTTAGTTGCAAAAACTTCCTCAGGGACCTCATCAGCTGTTCAACTCAGGACCAGGTAGTGAGAGAAGTCTCCAGTCAGGCAGCAGACTCATCTGGAAACCATGCTGAAAGTAATAACCCGCCCCAGTCTGAAAAACCTGCTGAAGGAAGAACAGATATCCTCCTCCTTCAGAGAGTTTCCCCTTCTCCTGGCACTGCAGAAGCAGAAATGGAAGCAGATGTATCTCCTTCTGGCCAGGAACTTGCCGTGAATCACACCTGGGTTCACCAGGATGCGATGCCGCGTGACTCCGGATCGCTCCGGGGGGATTCAGGCTCTCGTCCTGATCAGCCCACCCATGCCGAGCAGGGTGGCACTGCAGAAGAGGAGCTTGCTGAACCTCCGGAGGAGAGAGGAGGAGCGAGGGATTTAGGTGAGACTTTACGGGTGTGGGCACAGCATTGCCTCTTGCAATTGTGTTGACTCACGTTTTGCTCTTACGGGGGATCTTTTCCTCACTGTTTGTTGTTTTTAATTAGCCCTGGGGTGGGAGCAGCACCAGCGTGTACCCCCTTTCTGCAGGGGCTTTCTTCCTTTGGTACTGTGCAGTACTCTCCTTTGGCCTTGGCAGTTACTTCACTTTCACCACTTTACCAGAGCTGTAGCAAACAAAACTTTTCTTACCCACGCATGTGATTGCACCTGACGTGCAGTGGGATCTGCGTTAGTGCAGGACACGAGGTTGGTGAGGCAATCTGTGTAACAGTAAGTGAACAGAGTTGTCTGCTAATGCTACTTTATCCTTTAAACTCCTGTTCAGTATGGGAGGAAAACAGAGGCTGTACTGGGTTTAAAATAAATTTTCCATTTATAACTGGTGTTAAATAAACTGTTGGTTTTCCCTCCAGGCTGTGTGATATCTTTAGAAGGGATTTGTGAGTCACAGTTTCCCTATTATAGCCAACGCGCTGGTTACAAACTGATGCCTTTCAAATCACATCATGCTTTCTGCGAATCCCTTCAATTAGCAAATAACTCATCTTGTTTCTGTCACACAGCAGCAGAGAGAAAAAGCTGTAAACTGGATTTCTTTCTTCGATATGAAAGTGTTTTCTCTGAGGCCCTTTCTGATGCCCGGGCTGTGCTGGAAAGACTAGAACAGTGCAGAGAAATTGATGCCTCTCAAAAGGAGGTAGGTGTGTTTACTTGGGTAAAAGATACAAGTTCTTCACCCTGCTGAGGGCTACAATAGTTTGTGCCCTGTTTGGGAAACTGTTTCATGGGAAACTGGGGCTCTGGTGCCTGGTTGTTTGAAGGACAACACGTGCTCACCTGAGCAAGACCCTGGAGAGAAGCATCTGTAAGTACAAGCTGCTCGTGCACATAGGTAAAGAAGTACATGTCCTGCCCTGAAGACGTCCTCGTTGTGTTGTAGGAGAGCTCCAGCGCCGATTTCTCTCCTCCCATTTATGGCGTTTGCTTCGGGACCTGTATCGACTTGTAAACGACTGACATACGAGATCCCAAAATAGCCTTCCCGAGCCCTCATCGAGGGCTTGCTGCAGAGCGTCTGCTCGGCTCTGCCTGTGGGGAGCGTTACGGGGGGGTTACGGGTGCCACCCCGCAGCGCTTCACCTGGCAGCGTGCCACTGTAAAAGCAGTTCTTGCTGATGAGTGGTGCTCGGGTGACTGTTGGAGGGGATATTTGAGTCTTGTGCTTGGTTAATGCTGAAGGATGCTCTGGGCTCTGAGCTATGGTAGCCAGACACCAGCTGCTGTACCGGCTCAAAGCCACCACAGGAAGAGCAGGTTGTGGCTGTGTTGGTGTGGCAGTGGTGCAGGAGGACATGGAGCTTGGGCATGTTTGCGGCGGGGCCGGGTGGGCCCTCACGCTGGCTGCAAGCAGCTGCGCCGAAAAAAGCTGTGGCTGCTGTGGAGCGAGGGTGGGACTGTCCTTGCTCTCCTCACCCCCCTCCGGCGGGCGGCAAGCAGCGGCGCCGAAAAAAGCTGTGGCTGCTGTGGAGCGAGGGTGGGACTGTCCTTGCTCTCCTCACCCTGGCTCTTTCTGGTCGAGCGTTTTTCGTACCAGGCTGCATGAAGCGCGCTGCTCACCTCTTCTGTACGTGGAAATATGAGAATGTGACTGTTTTATTGCTGGCTTTTCAGTGGCTCCGTGGTTAGCTGACCTTTTGAAGCTGAGAGATGCTGTTCCGTAGGCCGGGGGGCCTGCGATGCTCTCTAGGCTCCCATGTGCTTGCTGGCCGGGAACTGTCTGGATTCAAGTCCCTTGGTCCCTCCAGTACCTGTATGACCATTGGACACGGGACATTTTGGCTGTGGCGGACTTCTGCTTTTAAAAACCCAAGGCAATGTGTTTGCTAGAAAAAACCCCATATGACAGCAGAGAGGAGAATTCGCTGGAGTCAGGGAGTGCAGGTTTCCGTTCTGATGAGTCTTTAAATGTTTACGGAGGGAAGCCTGTGTTCCCTTAGCGACCGACCCTCTTGATGGTGTTGGACTTCACATCTCTGGGGCTTTAGGAAGAAGATGTGTGTCCGAACTCCTGTTTGCAGCAGCAAGCCCCTGCCTGACGGGGTTGACAAGCACCTGTGAGTGCATTGCTCTCAGCATGCCTGCGCGCCCCACGAAGGATTCGGTTTTTGTGTGTTTCTTCGTTGCCCTGATCAGAAAATTATGTCACGTTGAAGGTTTTACCTATTCTGCAGCTTGGCAATCGGAGCAGAGCTGGGGAGGGCGCTGAGCGATGTGGACGGGCGCTGCCGGGGGGAGGACCTGGGCAGCTCGGTGCACCCATGGCAGCAGGCATCGCCCGTGCTGGCACCCCTTCCCTTGTCTGCTGGTGCTGCTTCCACGGGCACAGGGCAGAACGGCACCTGCGAAGCGCCCAGGCAGGGGTGCTGCCTGGTGTCCGCTCTGCCGAGCACCCCATTTTCCGTTGCTTCACGGTCACTGTTGTTTCGTGATTCTTCAGCACCCCCAAGACCCAGCAGGTGAGGTTCAGGCCCGTGCCCGGCCCTTTGTGCTCCCAAACGAGCTGCTGCAGCAGGAGCCGAGCGAGACGTCGTAGAGCTCAGAGACGGTTTGGGTGTCTGACAGCAAAACGACAGCTGGAAAATTTTTCTGCGGCTATAAATAAATGCTGAATAAATGAGAAATGGATTTTCTTTAAGCCTTTCAGAAAAATCACTTCTCAGCTGTGACAAGCATGAGAAGTGTCAGCCCAGGGGCAGTGGAGGGGACAGACTGCAGCCGGTTGTAAGCAAGGGCTCAGCCAGGTCTGTCCCTCTCCGAGCTCCCCTCTGGGGTCAGCAGGACCTATGGGACCGGCACCGAGCCTGGGCTCTGTTTCCAGCAGACGAAATAGCTTTTTCCCACAAGGTCGTGGTGTTATCTTCGGGGGGAAACACAGTGGTGTGTTTTTTAAGTCGTGTTTAAAGTGCAAGTTCAGCTGCAGAGAGCCCAGCTCGGGATGTGTAATTAAGGCTGAGATTGTGCCAGTGGTAAATGTCAATGGAATTTTTTTTTTCTCCCCCCCCCACCCCCCTTTCTGTATTATTTTGCCAGTCATTTGCTTGAAGTCTCGTAGGTGCCTCGAGGCAACTCGAAGTTGGTCTGGAAGCCCGTGAGATGCTGTTTCTTTGCATTAAGCAGTCTGGCTGGGCGTGCTTGCCCTGCTGCGGGGAACCTCTCCCACCCCTCGTGCGCATCCTCCGTCTGCTCAGGAGCCTTCTGTGGGTGACTTGTCCGTGGGCGAGCACCGATGTGTTCTGGACAGCAAAGCCTGGGCAGTGTAGGGGCTTGCGGGTGTTTGGGGGGGTTTTTGCAAGCCTGCCCGTTGATGCCGAGGCTGTCCTGGAGTTTGGACTCCTCTGGCTTCAGTGACATTTTGCCTTGGGCATAGCCTGTGTGTTTCCATTCCCTGTACCTGCGTGGGTGCCCTATCTCCTGCTTCCTCCAGTGGAGATTTGTTAGGCTGTGGGCTTTTTTCCCCAAGGAAGTTTGTGGTGCAGGGCTTGCTTTTGTGAGAATCGTTCCTTCTCTCTAAGTCTGATGTTATGTTCTGCTCCCTGGGCTGAAAAATGCGGACACTTTGCTTTTCTATGTAAGCAGATGTGATTTTGGGGGTTGTTCTTGTTTTAGAGTCTCTCTGTGTATCTCACATAAACTATTCCTATCTAATTTGGTTCTGGCCTGGATGAAACCTGCTTGGAAATGAGAACAAGACTGAAATTGCAGTAATTTGGGGAAGCGTAGAAGAGCTTTGCTGGTGTCAAGTCTTATCTTCCTGTGCTCTCTTAGAGAAACTCAATTCAAATTATTGCACAGCTCATTTGTTCCCTCTACTACTGGGTTCAGATGAAGTGGGGGAGCGTTGATTCTCCTGTGTGGAATAAATGTCACTGTGCTTGTGGATCATTTCCATTGCCTGTGGGCCTGTCCAATTATTGTCGTCCTTCGTTTGCGGCTGAAGGGATTTCTGGATGCGGCAGAAGAAAGAAGTTTCCCATTATCTTCTGCATCCTGATTAGGAGTGATAGGTTGTGAGGGTTTTATTTCATGGTGGCAGAGCTGGGAGAGCTTTTGCCCACTCTGTTCCGGTGTACTTGTGTGGAAGTTTGGGCTGAGCTTTTGTTCCCGGCTCAGCGTTGGCCACCGAGCCTGCCTGGTACTGGGGTCTCCTTCGTCGGTCACGTACAAATGCAGGCTTGAAAAAAAAGCACTTCAGAGTTCTGAACTGGAAATGGGAAAGTAGTTTTTCTCTGATTATTGTATGCCCAGCGATAGTTGATTGGCTTCGTGGTGTGGTCATGGCCTAGGAGCTGCTCTGTGGTCCAGACGTGTCGAGCCAGTCCCTGTGCTGTCCCTGCCACGGACCCTGCGGGCAGCAGCTCTGTCTGTGCAGATTTCCAGTGGCTTTTCACCTTACACACATCAAAAATTAACAGTAAAAAACCCAAAAGCAGCTTTTGCTCACAGAAGACTGCTGGTTATGTTTCTGGAAGTTTCCCCACAGTGCCCAGCCTGCTGCGGTCAGGGACTTTGCAGCTCACTGAATGGCCAGCACAGCTCTCCTTGGAGAGATGTGGGCACAGGATTTACCACGTTCAGCGGTGAGTCTTGTCCATCAGCTTGTGAGGAAGGGATCTGAAGGGAGCTAGCTGCTTCTGTCACCCTGAACAGGTTGCTTTCCAGCCTGTGTCTTGCAGATCCCTCGCCACCACCCTTTGGGTGCTTGCATTCGCTCTGAAGCCGATGCTTGGGGGACATCACTCAGTCATAGTTGCTGAAGTGGCTTTTTGCTGAGGTGTCCTCTTGTGGTGGGAGTGGGAGCATGGATAAGGCATGAAAAGCCGTAACCCTGCTTGCCCACCTGCAGGAAAGAGGCTGATGGCCAGCTGGGCTAGTGGCTGCCCTGCCCTACCCTCCCTCTCCCCCCACATCCCTCTTTAGGCTCAGCTGTGGGCCATCGCGTTCTCGGGTGGGATGCGCATTACTTGCCCACCTGGTTGGGATCCTCTCTGAGTCCCCAGATAACCCTCACGTTGGAACACCAACCACGTTCGGCCCAGCCTGGGCTCGGGGTCGGTCCCTGCAGGGCCACCCACCAGCTGCTCCTCGAGCATCCCTGTCCCTGTCCAACAAAACTTTATCTCACGATCGTGTTGGAGACGGAGGTGGAGGTCTTGGAGGCGCTGGCTTACTGGGAGTGTTGTGGGTTGGTGTGAGGAGTGAAATGTGTGTCTGGCTGGGAGGACACAAGGCTGACTCTGCTCCTGCACCTTTCAAAAGCAGGTTGTGGCTCTGCACAAGCAGCCTTGTGCATCTTCTTACTCAAAGCAGCACGGTATGTTGGAAGGAGCCGGAAATAATGAGCAATGGGGCAGAGCAGGAGATCCTGCTGTGGACACAGCAATGTAGGCATTGACTGTCTTAGGAAAGAAATCTGGAAAAATGTAGAAGATGAGGAGATGATGTGGAGATAGGAGACCTGCCTTCTGGGCTGTTACCTGCAGAGGTTCCTGTTCAGGGCTTGCCTTGGGGCTGCCGTGGAAGTGGGGAGGTCTGAGGTGAACTAGGAGGTCTGAGATGAACTGGGAGGGCTGCTTCATGGTGTGTGACCATTGCAGTACCGAGTTAGGAGTGTTGCGGCAACCAGAACCGGCATCCGCAGCTGGGACCAGACTTCTTGGTGGACATTGAACCTGTTTGGTGGCAAAGCTCAAGCTTAAGCCAAATCTTGGTGATGTGGTTTCCATACTTGGAGCGACGGTCTCTTGCTCCAGTCTGGAAGCTGGGTGTGTGCTCATTTGTGCCGATTTGGCCATGGAGGTTTTGCAAGCGTCCCAGGCAGCAGAAGCCTAGTGGATCAGGCTGTAATGTGTGGGCACGTTATGACTAAGTGGAAGCTGGGATTCCAGCTAATATCAGCATCTCTCCATTTTTTCCAGGATCTTTGGGAATTGTTAGTGCTTCAAAGTAAGTCTGAAATGCACTGTGTGCTCTTTCAAAACAATGCTAAAAGGCGGTTGTTCCCACTGAGCAACGGGTCCGAGGAAAGGTCTTCCAGAAGGAGACTATAAATAGCAGAGCCCTTCAGTTTCTGAAAACTCATTTCCATTAACCAAATCCGTGCGCTGAGGAAGGGATGGTATCTGGAGCTCTGCGTAGCAATGCTGTGCTGACTTTAATTTAAAAAAAAAAAAAAAATGAGTATTGCGACAATGCAAGCTACTTTTCATCCATATTAGTAAAAATATGTATTTGGCAGGATGCTGAGCACCTTTAGGATGGTGAGAATAAAGATGTTTTGTGTTTTACAGGATCATTTTGATCTAGAAGGGGCCAGGCATGCAAACCTTGAGAACAAACATGATCTGGTTATCAAGTCTCATTACAAATTAATGTTTGCATTAAAAAAAAATACCTTTAAGCTTTTTTTTTTTCCAGCACGTCTGTGGCTTCTCTTTTCTTCCTTTATAACAGAGCCCTTCATGTCCACGTGTCTCTGTTCGGCAGGAAAAATGCCGTTAGCGGGTAGGAGCTGGGGCTCCTGCAGCTTCCCCTCTGTGGATACTCTTTGCAATAGGTCATTGCACTGTCACGCTGCCCTAATATATGAGCATTTACACCTGCTAGGAAAAGCAAGTCCACCATCCCCCTGGTGCGGCCCCAAGCAGTTGCATTCAGTCTTTTTATCATAGAAATAAAAATGACAATGACAGCAGAAAATGGCCGCTTTCTCTGGAGCTGGGCTAAGCTCTCCACTTCAAAGGTACTTTTATAGCATCCCTGGAGTCTCTAATAAAGGATGCCTGCTCTGAAAGGCTGGCATCTCTCCTGGAGAGCTGGGGAGCTGTGTCTTTAGGGGCAATATTTACAGCGTTAAAGGGCTCCGGGGAAATGGGAGCGAGAGTTACAGCTTATTTCTTTTCCTTTTATTTCCATAACTACGCAGGCATGTTTGCCACTGGTTGCTCTTTCGGGTCAGTGGAGTGGATTTTGGAGCTCTGGGCGTGATTGCCAGGCGTGCTGAGAGCCCACAGGGTTTGCGTGCCTCCTCTCCAAAGCTTTCTCTGGGAGATGCAACTGCGTTGTGACTTGAGGATGGGAATTCCTAAAATTCACTTAAAATGCTCCCTGCTTTCTGTGCAATTGCTCTCCTTGTTCTGTAGTGAAACCTAGTGTCCTCTGCCCTAGCCTTGGACTTCCAAAGTAACGGTGTTTAAACTGTGTTTCGTTCGGTCCCTGAGACTTGGTGGCGTTTGGCTGTTAGGGGAAGAAATGGAGAGATGGTTGGTGCTGGAACCAGCTCCAGGCCGTGGGACTCGCTGTACAGATGAGAGCTGGCTGCCCTCCCGCCCGGGCCGGTGTCTGCAGAGCACAGCACGGGCTCAGTGCAGGACCCGGTCTGACAGCGAGCTCCGCGTCCGTCTGTCTGGGGGTTTTTGGTTGTTGTTTGTTTCCATTTTTTGTCCCCTGAACAAAACCCACAGGGTTCTGGTTTTTGCGTTGGTTCGTATGGGGCAGTTGGCTCTGCTGTTACAAGCTTCCCTGCGTTTGCCTGTTCTGTTGTAGGCTCTGGTTGCCCGTCTGGCAGAGGCGGGGGAGCGCTCGCTGTTCACGAAGCTGCTGGACGAGGTGAGGGATGCTCAGACCCTGGATGCTCAGACTCTCTTGTCTTTACTGGAGCTGTTTCAAGACGCGAATCCCAAGCTGAGAGCAGCTTTGCTGGAGAGGGAAGGGAGCAGCAGAGAAGCCCTGCAGCAAACAGGTACAGATGCGGGTGCAGCCCCTGGCAAAGTGCATGGGCAACCTCACAGGCAAAGCAGATCTCCAGAAACCCTGTGTCCTTACTCGGATGCAGGAGGTTTATTGTGTGCTGGCCGAGATCCTGGGGTGTTTCTGTCCCGCAGCAGCAGGGTGCGGGCAGCGCAGGGCTCTCCCCGTCGCTACCTGGAGGGCTGGATCGATAGCTGCTCCGCCAGCGTGGCTCAGAGCGCAGCTGAGCCTCAGGATTGAAAGCTCCTGTCTTACTTGAGTCTGACACAAAGCAGTGGCCTTGCAAACCTGATGTTAACCTCCAGCTTGCTTTATGGCTTTGTGCTCTGTTAGATAAATGAGACGTTTTCCTTTCATAGAGTTTAAAGAGAATAGTAAAGTGGTTTTCCTCTGCTGCTTGTGCTTGGGATGAGCTTTGCTATTCACTTAGATCTTTCACAGAGTTTCACTCGCTTCAGGAGCCTGTCAGTTCCTTCAGACTGACTTGTTTCTTCTCTTGTGTTCCTGAATCCTTTTCCCCCCAGAGAGCGCAGACGAGGGAGAGACGCTGACCACTCGCTTGCTGGGATGCAGGGAGGAGCTGATCCGGAGCGTGACACAGCTGAGCCCCATCGTAGAGTTCCTGGAGGCAGCAGAAGAGGGATTCCTGACTGCCTCGGAGAAGCGGGTAAAAGAATCTGAAATAAGGAAACCTCTTGGGGGGGCGGGGGGGGGGGGGGGGGGGCGGTGGTCTGCAAGGCACCGTCTGACTGCTGGGTTTGCCAAGTGCTGTGCGAGCCTCACCTGGCAATTTCACCTCCCGCTTGCACGGCGCGGGCTGCACGTGTGTGTTGTCTCGGGTCCTTCCCCGCTGAACTGCGGGAGCGCTGAAAGCTGAGCCATGAAGTCAGCCTGGAGACCAGGATGAGCGCTGCCTGGCCCGGTGGCAGACTGTCCCTGCAAGAGGAGCCTGGGACAGAGGAGGTGCCTGCTACTCTTTGTAGGCCCTGAAAATGCCTTTTTGTGAGCCCGAGGAAGGCTCTGTAGTAGCGTTTGGTTTCAGCAGAACCGCTGATACCCCTGTGCTGCCTGCTTGCCAGCTGTGTCCTTGTGTACGTGATCATCAGCTTTCCTTTCAGCTGACTCTCCCAGCTTTAACTCCTTTCTTTAACTCTTATCACACAGTTGCCTGCAAAAATAGCACATTCACTGATTATTTTTTTTTTTTCTAATCTGTTGAATGCAGCAGTTGTTGGGGAGGACTGTTGCTTTCCTGTAAGCAATTGCATTATGTATGCTGATCTGCAGATGCCATAATGAACAAAATCTGGTGTATACCCTGCTTTTCTTTGTGTTTCGGGGGGAGCTGGCTATACCCTGCCTGTGCAGCTGGACCTTGCAGGGTGCCCTAGCATGCTGCGTTCGGTACGCAGCTTGCAGACCTCCTGTCCTAGCTTGTCACATCAGTTAGTTCCCCTGACGCAGGATTACAGTGAGTGCGAAGCGCTGTTGTGCTCAGTGGCATGAATGATGTCTGCTTTCTGTCTGGGTGAGCCTGACCAGAGCCACGACAGCTGGCCTGAGAACCTCTGCTCATCTTGTAAGTCCCTCAGTTACTGTCTTGATCACTTGCAGCAGTCCCTGACCAAGTGTCCAGCGTGGAGCATCCCTGGGGGTGGGTGCAGCTCGGTGCTGGAGGGCCAGAGAAGGTGGTGCCAGCAGAGTCACACACCTTTTCCTCATGGGCTGGGCTGTGACTGGCACCTGATAAATATTCCCCTCGGAAAGCAGCATGGCTGAGGCTGAAACGGGGAGGGGGCCTGGAGCTGAGCTCCTAGCCGTGAAAGCTGCGTCAGCAGTGGGGAGATTAAGGTTTGTCGTACATGCCTGATCGTGTTGCAGTAAGGCATTTCTTTCAAAGGCTGCACCTTTCCCCTGCGCTCTTCTTTTTGCCTTTATGAAATTAGGTAGTTAAAATGAGGCCTTTTTTAATTTCCCTTCCCATTGGGGGGAAAAAAAAAAACCCAACCCAAACAATAATAAACCAAAGCCATTCTAGCATCATAATTCTGCTCCTTGGGCTCAGGATACAGTCTTTAATTGCATCATCTTATACTGCGGGACTGCTGCCTCGTTTGGTGAAGGGGTAGCGTTATTCAGTACTTCTTTTTATCCTCTTCAGTGACTGTATACTCCGTTTGCTGCAGAGCTTCCAAACCCTGCTCTGAATACAAAATCCTTCTCCTCTATGAGATCCTTCGTGCTCTTGTTTTAGCCCACAGGTTCCCAGCAAATAACAAATGTATTTGGGGAGCCCTCCAGCAAGACTGGGTGCGTAGCTTTTTCCCCTGTTGTGGCACCGGAAAATAAGGCAGAAATTGCCACATGTAGATTGACCTTGAGGGGTTCCCTTTTTTTCAGGCTTGTTTTATTTGTTTATTTTTTTTTTCCCCTCCAGACAAGTGGAAAAGTGCTTAATTATTTCAGAATTTAATTGATTAAAACGGTGGGCCTGTGGCATGTGTGCAGTTGAGATCTCTGGTGTCTCAGGTGCGGTCCTGGGAAAATGAATGTGGAATTAGAAGCCACCTCTGAAGGTTTCACCTTACCTGATTCATCCAGCATTGCACGGGAGCTCTGGGCTGGCAGAGATAAGATCAGATTCTCCAAGGATTCTTAAAGATGAAGCTTTCCTTTTTCTTCTCGCAGTCACTGCTTCATTAGCTACACATTTATTCAGCAAGACAAGTGCGAGTTTTGTGTGTAACAGCCTTTTTTCTAGGCAACTGGGTGCTTTCTGTGCCTGGTTCAAGCTATGCATGGAGCAAGTCTGATTTTCTTTGCTCAAAAGCCAGCACATGATGCTTTGTGAAGCCCCTTTGTAAATCCCTGTTTTTCTGGGGAACTTTTTACCAGGAAATTGTATGTTTTGAGTGCTTCATTTTGTGGCTTTATTAGTGTTGCTGTAATGTGGGGAGGTAGGGTAGAGTGTTTGGGGGGTGGCTTAGGTGCAGATTCTCACTTAAGAGGAACAAACTTGGATACAGAAGAAGAGCGGGTGACCGCTTGTGCATGGCTGAGGTCATCACACAGTTCAGAGTGGCCAGTCCACAGTACAGCCCAGAGCTGGAGCGTCAGAGTAGCTGATCAAAACCCTCATCCTTTCCTTCTGTCCAGGCTCTCTGCTAGAGGGGACTTGGGCAGTTTGAGCTATGTGCCTTCCCTTCTCTGTGGCTCCAGTGCCTGCATGGCTTGGTGTTCAAACCACGCCGCTTCAGAGCTAGCACAGGTATGGACGACAACACGAGCGAGGTTACTGGCCGTTGCAGGAGCAGTCTGAACTGGATGCACCAGGGGATGGAGAAATTCCTTTGCAAGCAGAATGGGGGTATGTTTTCTGACTGTCTCACCCAGTTGTTGTCAAAATGAGTCTCAAAATGTCAGCGCTGCGTCTGCCGCTGCCAGGGCCATCACTTCTGAGCCTGTTGACACTTGCCTGGGAGCAGTGGTAGGTTACAGCACGAGCTCCCCAAAAAGATCCTGCTCTTGTACCCCTTTTTGTGTTCTCTTAAAAGATGGCTTCAGACTGAGCAATCCAGAGTCAGCTCAGTGTGAATTGGATGGGAGGATATGTCAACAGGTTCACTAATGGAGTTTTGGCTATAAAAGGACAGATTTTTAGAAATGAGAAAAACTAATTAATTAGAGATCAGCTGCTCGTAAGAGCACAGGAGGAGCTGTTGGATTAGTTTCTTTTATGTTAGAGGCAGGAGAACTGTCTGAAGTTTGCATCCTCAACAAGAGAGGAGAGTTTGTATGAGAGGTTACAGACCTGAGTGAATGAATAACTTGAGGAAGAGTGTTAGGGACCTGCAAGGAATGGCTGAAATGTCCAACAGGCAAAGAAATGTACTTTAGAGGTATGAAGAGAGTCTTGCAGTATGTCAGGCTGCTGGGCATCACAGCCTGTATTGAGACAAGCAACAAACGTTTCTCTGATCAAGTAAAGAAAAAGAAGAATGAGAGGAGATGACACATAAACTCAGAACTGAGCCTAGGGACAAATCCAGGAGAGACAAGGAAACAGAAATTTTCTGCAGCTGAAGTGAAACCACAGCTCAAAGGGCATCCCCTGGCAGACTGGAGGAGTTGACACGTGTAGCTATGAGAGCAACAGCAAGGTTCATTACTGTATTTTCCAAGTTGAGAGTGGTCCCTACAACTGATAACTAGGACAGACATATGGGAGAGGGGGGCAGTGATCTAGGCAGCCAGCTCTGTGGGTGCACAGGAAAATGTGCTGGGACAGGCTGGAGGATGCGTAGCTGAAGCGTGTAGCTGAACCCCTGCCTGTGAGCAAAAAAGCTGCATAAAACGCAGGAAAGGGTGCTCAAGTAAGTTGTTTCTGCCTGACCTGGAATCTATATTTGATGAGATAAAAATGGGTTTTTCTGCCTCGATCTAGACTTGAGCAAAGCATTTGAATTTCATGTGAGGAAATTGTTAAACTAGAGGAAGCGGTGACATTAAAAAAAAAAAAAAAAGAAAAAGATGTATCTTGTTGGGAGATAACTACAGATTGTGCTGAAGTCAGAACTGACAGGTTGGAGCAAGGTTACCAGTGGTATTCTTGGCACTTGCTTAAGATTAACACTAATGTTATTGACATAAAAACATCAAAGCATGCTTAGCAAAACTTGTTGATGAGCAAAACCGGGTTCTTTTGTCCACACGGAGTAGGATCTGCAAGAGGGAGAATCACAGGATGGTAGGGGATGGAAGGGACTTCTGGGGGTCATCTAGTCCAAACCTCCTCCTCAAGCAGGGTCACCTAGAGCAGGTTGCACAGGACCTTGTCCAGCTGGATTTTGAGTATCTGCAGAGAAGGAGACCACAAACCTTCTGGGCAGCCTGTTTCAGTGCTCTGTCACCCTCAGAGGGAAGAAGTTCTTCCTCATGTTCAGCTGGAGCTTCCTCTGCTTCAGTTTGTGCCCATTGCCCCTTGTCCTTTCGCTGGGCACCACTGAAAAGAGTCTGGTCCTATGCTCTTGACACCCACCTTGAAGATATTTATAAGATCCCTACTTGGTCTTCTCCAGGCTGAACAAGCCCAGCTCCTTCAGCCTCTCCTCGCAGGAGAGGTGCTCCAGTCCCCTCATAATCTTCGTAGCCCTCAGGTGCACTGTCTCCAGTAGTTTCTTGTCATTCTTGAACTGGGGAGCCCAGCACTGGACACAGTACTCGAGATGGGGCCTCACTGGGGCAGTGGGAAGGAGAACCTCCCTTGACCTGCTGCCCACACTCCTCTTGATGCACCCCAGGATCCCATTAGCTTTCTTGGCAGCCAGGGCACACTGCTGGCTCATGGTCAACCTGTCATCTACCAGGACGCCCAAGTCTTCCTCTGCAGGGCTGCTCTCCAGCAGGTCCGCCCCAGCCTGTACTGGTGCCTGGGGTTGTTCCTCCCCAGATGCGGGAACTCCACTAGCTACAGGCCTCCAACTAAACTCTGCGCCGCTGATCACAACCCTCTGAGCTCTGCTCTTCAGCCAGTTCTCAATCCACCTCGCTGACCGCTCATCAAGCCCACACTTCCTGAGCTTGCCTTTGAGGATGTTATGTGAGACGGTGGCAAAAGCCTTGTTGAATTCAAGGTAGACAACATCCACTGCTCTCCCCTCATCTATCCAGCTGGTCGTGCTGTCATAGAAGGCATCAGACTGGTCAAGCACGATTTCCCCTTGATGAATCCATGTTGACTACTGATAACCTTCTTTTCCTCCACTTGCTTAGAGGTGAATAAGAATTACTTGGCTGGAGAACTAAGTAGTGAGAATTGGGTGACGTGTTAGTATGAAGTGAAGGACATGCATTTAGATGCAGTAGCTAGAACTAAGAATGAAGACTCATCTGAAATTTCTATGTGCAGATCCAGTCTTGTTCAAAAAAGGTGAATTTGTGTTGAAGCAGAGACAGATCTGCAGTCACAAGATTAGGAGAATGGAGAAACTGTTTTATGAGAGGAGCTGCCTTATTTAGACAAGTGAAATTAAGACAGAGGGACTATGATCGTGCTCTTATAAAGAAATTGGAGAGGAAGGGTAGGGTAAAAACCTCAGAGAGTTTAGAAGGCTTTTTAAGCTAAAAGATAATGTTAGCACACGAACAAACGGGTATACGCTGGCCATGAATAAATTTAAGCTGAAAATGAGAAGAATTAACAGGGGAATGAGGCTGTGGAAGAACTTTCCAACCAGGGGAAAGGGAGCAAAAATGTAACTAGTTTTAGGACAGATCTTAGTAATTCTATTAATGGGACTGTGTAGCGTAGTGCTTATAACAGCAAGGGACGGGGCTGGTGACCTACAGAGTTTCTTTCAGTCCTACATTTCAAGTGCTTAGGAACACCCATTTGCAGAGGGGAGGTCAACCTGTGTTTGTCGACTGGCTTTCCCTTGTAGGAGCCTTGTAGGTGTCATAGTGGCATGCTAGAGCTTTTCCAAGCTACAGTGATTGCATCTCACATAAGAGATGTCCCATGTGGCCTCGCCACAGAAATAATAATTCGTTTAATAGGATGCTTATTTAAATAACAAGAGTCTTTTATTTTTCCCCCCCTCTCCATCCCTGTCTTTCGATGACAAGCAGAAAAATTTGGGAGACAAGGGAAACGAGACTGCCAATTTAGAAAGTATTTGCTAAAAATATTAAATGAAATATTGTTTTGAATCCTGTCTTGAGGTCTTTTTTTTTTTTTTGTTCCCTTTGAAAAAATGCTTTTTGCTTGTCAGCCACTTTGAAGAGCTAGACTTGGTGGAAGAACCCACCAGCATAGTTTTCAAGGTGACACATGTCAGATATACCTGGGACGCCTCTAGATGTTCTGGTAACCAGCACCCCATAACGCCTCTCGGTTAATCAAATCGGTGAAAGTAGTGGATGTGGATTTACTGCAGCACTGTGCATTGTGAGACTGTTCCTCTTTCTCTGGTCTCTGTTGAGATCCAAGAGTCTGTAGGAAACTCTCACAGACAGGTTCTTGGCTGTTTCTTTGTCACAGGTAGTCTTGGATTGCTGTGAAAGCGGCTCTCAGAGGGAAGCTGTGGACAATCTGCTCAGGAAGGTGGATGAAGAGAAAACCCTGAAAGCAGAAAGTTTGGTCAAACTTCTGGGGGCTGTGAAAGCATCATTCCCTGGTCTCCACCTGCTGCTGGACAACTTGATAGCAACAGCAAATGTGTCTGATGGCAAAGGTATGGGTACACTAAACTTCAGATGCCTGGGGACGCAGTTCATGGAATTACCAGGAAGTTTGGATGCTGGTTTGTGCCTCAGCATGCTCTTAAATCTTACTTGCATGTAAGGGAATGGGATGGCAGTTTTATGCAAACACAGATGGCCTGGGAGAGCTGGAGTAGGGGGACTGTGCCAGCAAGGAAGCCCCCGCTCTGCAATAAAACGAGCAGTGTTGGGCAGCAGCCTGTTGTGCTCCTTCCTTGAGTTTGACACTGATGGGGTAGAAACTAGGATGTCGTGTCTGGAAAACAGGAGAGCTGTTCCCTCCTGTATCAAGTTACTTTTTGGTTTTCAGTCAGTTAAAAGCAGCAGCATGTGTCTCCATAATAAATAGAACAATTTTCACTTAAACCTTCTGTAGGTGAAGGCATCTTTACCAAACTCTGGTCCATTGGTGACTTTAACTCATGGTACTTGCTGGCTTTGCAAGCAAATACCTAAAACTTCCACAAAGCTGTAGATGTCTTGAAATTAAATGCAGGCAGTGTCTTACCCGGCTTCAGTCTTTGTGAATTCCTCGTGACTGAGGGAGATTGTGGGCTGTGTGTTTGGTTGGGTGGTGTTTCTGCACCTCGTGTGCTCCTGTGTGGAGCTGAGTGTACTGATGGGAGTCCCACACTTAGTATCTCCATTAGACATCGTTATCTTGGACACTTAATCCCCTTCTTTTTGTTTTAGTGGGGTTTTATTGTTTGTTGCCTGCCACTGGTGGTTCAGGGACTCGTGAGTCCTAATCTTTCAGCCTCTGGGACAGCCTTCCAAGTTTGGTGGGTTTAGGCGCACCCCTGAGCAGTTCAGATAGGCACATTTCACCAGCTCTGAAGTCACTTAAAAATTTAAACCTAAATTAACATGCAGTGAAATGTAAATGAGTGTTTAATAGAAAGCAAAACTGTGCTCATAATGCTGATAATTTCCTATGTAGCAAACATTCCCGACAGGCAGTTTGCTTTGTCATTTGTTAAGCACGATTGCTTTCTTGAAACACCAGACTCCCAACATGGTTAATTATCTAGTGGTAATACTCATTCCAAGGAGGAGCATTCCTTAATTACACAGAGCTGAATCTCCTCAAATTGCAGCTTGAACAAACAGAAGCACAATATTTCTTATCGTGGAAATGAAGAGGGAGGGAATGATTTGGGCTGCTGACGGCAGCCTTTGATGTCCTGTGCTGTCCCGCTGACAGAAAGGAGGATGTCTGGTACCACCACACAGGGCACGCTCTGGTGACGGAGCTCACCTTGGTACAGCAGCACGCCTGAGAGCGCGTTCGTAACAACTCACATTTGTGGGATGAAATCAGAAACATTCCGATGGGAGAAGGGGGAAAATATTTTTATTTGTAAATCATCCCCTGATCCTTGTGGGGCACATCCAAGTCACACCTGAATCCTATGGAGCTCAAGTGCTTAATGAGGTTCCCTTAGCTTTGCTGTGTCTCCAAGAAGTCTTTGTCCAGGGAGTTTTTCATATTAGCTCAAAGTCTTCTGCTGATTATTCCCGCAGCCTGCCATTGCCTCCTTCACCATCCTGGGGAGCTTTCTCCACTTACCCGGTGCTGTATGTCTGCTGGGTCCCAGAGACTGTATTTTCTTTTTGCCAAGCTGTGTGTATTTAGCTGCTTTTCTCCTGAGTAGTGCTGTATGAATCATAGATTTTTTTTCTGTTTGGTACTGAACTAAAATGATTAAAAGACTTAAGCACACAGACAAAAAACACTCACAGATGTCTTGGATGAACTGCAGTTTTTTGTTTTGGTTTCTCCTACAGAAGTATAACTATGCATCTTTTCCAATTTAGTAACTCCAACAGTGAAAAAAACCCTTTTCAGATTCATCTATTTGGCAATTTCTAGTTTTATTTATCAACTAATCTGATGATAAGTACAGTCATACATTACATTTTGTACACAACGTATTTTGCCCAAGTCTCTTCATTATCCTGAATAAACACTATTCATTTTCTTGAATTAGTCCGTTGCGGTCTGATACTCGGGTGTCTTTAAAGGGCTGTGGCGTTACTCTTCAGTAGTTGTTTCTCAGACTCATCAGGGCAAACCTCAGCAGACCCAGCTTGGAATTAGATATGGGAGGAGGAAGGTACGAGGTTAAAATTGCATTTTTTTGGTGTAAGGGAAAGAAGAAGGCGTTACTGCAGCTTTGCAGTCACAACTCTGGTTTGTGTTCCCTTGACATTTTCACCAAGGACAACTCAGCTCACTGAGCTCTTGATTACCTTGGACCATCTGGGTGTTTGTTAAACGTTAGTATGTTTGAGTCATACACCGCTGAGATGGAGCGTGTTGCAGAGCTCCTTCTCGGTGGAGTGGATCAAAGATTCTCACAGATCTCTTTCAATCAAACAGCAATTAAGAGTCAGTAATGGGGCCTCCTTGATTTTGGGCGTCAGAAGAGACTGATGAACATCTCAA